CAGGGTGCGTGTGCGTGAGTGTGTGTGTGTGTGCGCGTGTGTGCGTGCGTGCGTGCGTGCGTCCCGCCCAGGGCCGGCGCTGACCTGTGACCCTGCAGATGGAGAAGGCCAACGCCAGGATGAAGCAGCTGAAGCGGCAGCTGGAGGAGGCAGAGGAGGAAGCTACACGTGCCAACGCATCTCGGCGTAAACTCCAGCGGGAGCTGGACGATGCCACCGAGGCCAACGAGGGCCTGAGCCGTGAGGTCAGCACCCTCAAGAACCGGCTGAGGTGAGCGAGGCCTGGGGCTCGGGTGGGCCGCGGGCACGGGGCTTGAGAGGTTTTTCTTCCGTGTGTGTACAGTGAGCAGCCCCTTAGAACTTTTTCCCCCAAACCATTTTAAATCAGTAGTTAAACCACATATCGTTCCACAGTTGGATCACCTCAAGCAGCAATTGTCCACCGGCAACAAGCCCATTTCAAACACTCTCTCCTCCTTGAACTCCTCGACACCGGCTCCCCCACCCCACCCCCACTGCACCCACCAGAGCCCGTGTCCTCCTTGCTGTCTGTCGGCTCGTCAGTCCTGGCGTTCATGCACTGAAGGACAGACAGACACAGAGCAGAGTGACCGCTCCGTCAGAGGGAAATCTAACAGCAAACAGAACACCGGATCAGACCCCAAGCGTGTCAGCTCCGCTGACGGCCTTCGTCACTCAAGCCAGCTTTCCCGTCGCGTCCCCTGTCCTCAGTCATCCGTCTGTCTGCTCGAAGCACTGACATCCTGGGGAACCAGCCACCCACTTGCTCCTGGCTCTTCACGGGGTCCTGCTAACCGAAACGGCAGGAGGCCTGAGCACTGAGGCCAGTGTCCTCCGTTCCACACCGCCCCTTGGTGAGAAGGGCCAGCCTCTACTGGCGGGGCTGACGAGGCCGAGCACAGCCCGCCTCCATACTGGGCTGGCACGAACCACTGAGGCGGGCAGAGCGCACGGGCAGTAAGGCAGGCCCCCTCCCCTGGGTCACACAGGTCACGCGAGGACAGGGGCAGCGAGCCAGCCCGTGTGCCACAGGTGGCCCCGGCCCTCCTCCTGTACAGGCAGCAGTGATGCACGCACCCTCGGGAAACACCCTGGCGGCGGCGGTAACCAGCTGCGTGGGTTTTGAAAGATGGTTTTTTTAATACAAGAAGGAGAAAGATCCTGATTGACCTACTGAGCCGGAATTAGTCAGTGTCTGGCCCTGGTCAGCAGAAAAAGGCTGCTGACCCTGGACTGATATTTATTTTCTTGCCATTCCTACCTCTGAGGACCTCCTGCTCCGGTGACGTTTGAGGCGGGACGAGGGGTGTGTGGTGAAAACGTGGCCTCCTCTGGTCGGCTCAGGATCCCCAGGGGGTCCCCAGCACGTATCACCTGATTGACAGGGTGGACCCCCCCCCCCAACTCCGCACGGGCGGACACCTCTCGCGGGGTGTCCATCTGTACTCACGGGTGCTGGCATCCCCTGCAGGCGCGGTGGCCCCATCAGTTTCTCTTCGAGCCGATCCGGCCGGCGCCAGCTGCACCTCGAGGGGGCGTCCCTGGAGCTGTCCGACGACGACACAGAGAGCAAGACCAGTGACGTCAACGAGACGCTGCCGCCCCCGCCGTCGGAGTAGAGCCGTGGGAGCACCAAGGCCACGGGTACAGCGGACACAGCTTGCCTGCCGCCCAAGTGGCTGCCCGCAAACAGGGACTGAGCGCCCCACGGGCTCCCAAGCGGAAGGAAGATCCGCTGTGTCTGAGGGCTCTCCGGCTGCTCGTACTGTATCCTGCTTTGACTTTAGGTACAATCGCGCCCCTTTTCTACATATGTATATATTTATATATATATACATACATACATATATACACGCGCCCCACACACACTATTAAATCGATTGTCTCCTCATTGCATCCACTTCCCCTGTACTCACCGGGAGGCCATGTGACAGCCCCTGTTAAGAGGAGACCCTCCCGCCCCCTTGTCCCCAGGCGCGGGGTCATAGCGGGGGCTGCCCGGCACTCTGCATGCTCGGGGGTACAGACCGGACCTAGGTTTCGTGTTCACGTCCCCCCCAAGCCACACGGAGTCTCTCCGAACATTGTGGAACGTAGACTGCACTTGTAGCTCATCTTCTTCAACACTGATCATTATTTCAGTGAGCAAACTGTGAAGGGGCTGGGGGGGCGGGGGGGGAACCAGAGGGGCGGCCAGCATCCATGTGGGGGTTGCCCTGCCCGCCTCCCAAGGGGTGGCTGTGCCCCTCTAGTTGGTGATGCCCCCACATCTGTTCCTGTGAACTGTCCCTGGCCAGGGCTCGTCTGTGCGTAGGGGACAGTGGCTGGGATACCGCCCCCGGCGTGGCCCCACGTGCAGCCCCCACTTTTGACTTGGGGGGGGGGGGTTCTCATCCCTGACTTGTCAGAAGCCGGCAGCTCTGGGCCCCTAAGCAGGTGGCGTGGAAGGCCCAGCCCACCCCTCACCAGCCCGGCTCTCCTGCTGACCTTGCAAATTCAGCCGCTGCTTTGAGCCCAAAATGGGAGTCTTGGTGTCTTGTTCCCAGACGTGTTCCCTGTTTGTCTGGGAAGCGCAGAGCCTCCAGACAAGACGCCATCTGCCTCAATGTTGGCAGGCCAGTGGATGGGAATCCCTTCCCAGTCCCACCCCCACCCCACCCCACACCCTCCGGACAGTGTTAATAGCAAGCATCTAGCATTCTTTTGGTTGGTAGTTGAGCAAACTGACATTACAGAAAGTGCCTTAGACACTACAGTACTAAGACAATGTTAAATCTATTATTTGCCTCCACAACAATTTAACGCGTTGTTTTGACTGTGCTTCCTATCATGTACCTCTGTAGTCGAAGTGGCATCACAGACCTTCAGTGACGAGGAATCAGTGTTAACTCTAGACCCTTGCTCCTCTGCAGCGTGCTTGACCACACACGCCCTTTGGGTTAAAAGCTTTAACATCTGTTAGGAAGAATCTGTCGTGTGGGTTTGGGATTGCCAATCCCCTCCCCACCCCTTTATGAATTGTACTGGCTGTTGACCACCAGACACCTGACTGCAAATCTCTTTTCTTGTATTCCCATATTTCTAGACAATGATTTTTGTAAGACAATAAATTTATTCATTATAGATACTTATGCCTGCTCTGTTTACTTGGAGGACGAAGCACCCATTGAGAATAAACAGATCTCAATAAATGAGAATAATCCTGTGGACATGGAATCTCTTTTCTCCCCTCGCTTCTCGGTTCCCATCGCTGGTAGCAACAGTCTGGAAGCACAGGCAGCCTCCTCCCCGGGGAGCCTGGTCAGCGTTCCTGGAAGCTGCCAAACACCAAGCCGAGCCTCCTGACAGCCAGCGTTCCAGCTCTGCTGCCCCGGGCCAGGAGTGCTTGAGGAAGGAAAGGGAGAAGGGAGCCATCGCAAGCGGCAGGATGAAGCCTCTGGGAGGGTTTTGGTCACCAACCATTGGCACTCACTTTACTAGGTCTAAGTCACCCCAAGGAGCCAGGTGGGACAGTGGTGACAAGCTGGACTGTGGCGAGGAGCAGGGTCGGCAGTTCGAAACCGCCCACGACTCCTCGGAAGAAAGACAGGGCTTGCTGTGCCCGTAAATAGTTAACATTCTTGGAAATTCACTGGGGCGATTCTACCCAGTCCTATAGGGTTGCCAAGAGTCAACGTTGACTTGATGGTTTAAGCAGTTTCCAAGTGCATTCTGGGTAGGATGCCTGTGGGAAGTGCTTTGTGGGGGATTCTGTGGACAGGCAGAACCTCCACGGACTGACTAGGACGAGCTGGGCTGCTCCTCGGGAGAGAGGCGGCTTTCTGCTCTCTTGGAGAGCGCCTCGGGAACGCACGGGCAGCCCTGCTCCGTCCTGTAGAGCTGCTGGGAGTGGGCAGCGATCCTGGGGTTTGGCGTGGGGTGCTTTGCACGGCCGGGAGGCTGTCTGGGAGCTGGGCTTGGTGTCCAAAGCTCCAGAGCTGGAGGCTGCGCTCAGCAGGATGACAGTGGGGGAGACCCTGGGCTTAGATGAGGCCTTGCTGGGATTGAACGGGAGCTTGGGATGCAAACGCGTGGGCTGCCAGCTTCATCGGCAGTCCAAAAGTACCAGCTCCTCCGAGCACGCAGGATGAGCCTGTCTCCTCCCATAGGACTGACGGCCTCGGAGACCCACCAGAGCACGTCCACTCTGCGCTACGCATTGGAATTGGCCCAGTGGCGGGGAGTCTGGCGTTGGGGAGGAATAGCAATAGCACCGAGACCCCTCGCCTGACTGGCTTGTGTGAAGCGCCTGCCACACAAAGGCTCGAGCGCCCATCGTGGTTCCTTCCTGGGCCCCTTTGCCCCATCTCTGGAACCCTCAGCTAAGATGCGGGGCCGCATGTGGCCCAGCTGGTGTCAAAACCAGCCCGCCTGCTGGCTCTGAGTGTGACTGGCCCATGGCTCGTCCTTTTGAGGCCAGCGTTGCCGGGGGATAGGTGTGTCTGTCGGGATCGAGGATGGAAACAGCTCATGGTTGGCACATTCTGGGAACCACTGCCCCCTTTCCACCCTCTAAAAATAAACATCCAGCCAGTGGAGAGGCTGGTTCCCCTAGGTGCAGGCAGCCTGACAAGTCCTGTAGCCTCGAGGGCAGTGTTTCCCCAAGTGGGTGATACTACCCCCTTGGGGCCGCTGGAACCATGCAGGGGGCTGCAAAGGCAGGCACAGCCCCACGTGATCCTGGGTTGTGGCTCTAGTACATAAGTGCCCTTCATGGGGCTCTGATAAGGGAGCGGCGGGTGAAATAAGTTGGGGACCCTATGTTCTAAGGGGGTCCTGGTCACTCCAGGAAGAACTACAGAACTTCCCCTCACCACCTCCCCAGGAAAACATGCTCACCAAGAGCTTGCTCACATTCCGAAATTGCTGGAAGCTATATCCCATGCCAGCTGTCAGGGCAGCCTGCTTCCGCTTTGAAACCAGTGGGCTCAAATGTAAGAACCATGGTGAGGACGGCCCAGGACTGGGCGGTGTTTCGTTCTGTTGAACACGCGGCCACTGAGTCAGAACAGGCTCAAAGACTGTTCAAAGGCGTATTTACATGGTGCCAGTTTTCAAAGATGATGCAGTTTGACCTGGCGTCTAAATTCTTACTGAGATGATTAAGTTCATGTTGGATTTCTTAAGGCAGTGAGGTCTGTCTGCTGTTTCAAACTCGCCAACAGCCTTATTCAGGATGTCACAGGACTTGACCGGAGCGTCCACCGGGACCGCTGCCCCTGCCAAGCGTCCATCTCGCCTGCGTTTTTACATCTAAACTCCCCTGTCTGGCTGTTGCTAGACATTGCCTGACCCGTCTGAGTAAGATCAATAAAGCCCCGCATCTAGCAGAATGGATGTCAGCAGCTGAGAAGAAAATTCCCGAGTCATCCGTGAAATGCGTTCCCTCGCCAGGGGGCACTGTCACACAAGAGGAGGACACTGCTGCTCAGGAATGTCTGACTCATGGTGTGAATTTTGGGGACTGTCTTGTATCACCGTCCTCTATGGGAAGGTTTTATGGGTGTTAGGAGGCAAGTCTGTCTTTAAACAGCCTAAAGGAACTTAACAAATAAATCTACATGATAAGGGTTTTCAGAGTCCCCATTGGGATGCTGTTTTAAATGGTTCAGAATCTATCTGATCATTGTCTATGAAATACCGTAGTCTCTCTTCTCAGCAGACAGCCCAACAGAGGTCATCAGGGCAGTTGAGGCAAAGAAAATCATTCTCTGTGGGTTTGGGGTTTTTTTGTTGTTTTTAATGGGATTAGGGCAACTCTACAGAAAAACCCAAGAACCTGCAAATAATAAACTAATCGCATTTCTCTATTTCACTTTTCATCTTTTTAGCAAGCATGCCTCTTTTCACAGTGCTGCAATGTGCACACACATCTATTTCGCCTTTTCCCACGGGCCATTCCCAGCGTGTCCCCACCATCCCACGGGCAGCACTGGGTTACAGCGCGCTTCGGCCCCGGTTCTGCAGAGATGCAGCTTTCCCACCGTCAGACAGTCTCGGCTGCTGGCGGTCAGTGGGCACCAGCCCCTAAGTGGAAGTGTTGCTAGCAGATATTGTCAGAGTTAGGCAAGGCTTCCAGAGAATAATGGAGGGGATCCAGTCATACTTTACCTTTTTGCCTGACTTCTAGACGGGAGGCCGAGGGGGTGTGGGCTGTGTGGGCTGCTTTTGCTCATTCAGTCACCTGCTTCTTAGCTCCGTCATCTACAAGTTGAGTAGAGGGTCCTGCGCCTCAGCTGGACACCACCTAGGACTTGGTTCGCCACACACGTCCTGGCGACCCACCACCCTTCTCGTGAGCCTGCACCTGCAAATCAAGGTGCAGGCAGGAGCCCCCTTTCCACGAGGCCAGTAGTCACTGTCACACATTCTAACTCAGTTCATCAGCTGGGGGCCCAGTGAGGCCTCTGGAAAGTCCAGCAGCCACCTAGGGACCGTTTCCCATCCCGACTGCCGCTGACTAGGCCTGTGAGCCCAGGCGAGTCACAGAAGCGCTGCACCCACTTTCTCTTCTGGAAACAGAGGGCCCAAACCTGCTTGTCCAGTTCAGGTAGACACAGGCAGCTTCTAAAAGTTGGTAGCAAAAGAACTGGAACTCAAAAATAATACAATCTTTTCCACAAACTTTTTGAAGCCACACACACACTCCTCAAGGTCCCAACAGCCCTGCGATCCTGGCTCTTAGCCGGGTTGGTGGGGGCAGTGGGGGTCGTTTCTGGCCCTCTGGGCGGAAAGGAACGGGTGTGCTGACTCCTAGTGACCTGGGAAGATGTTTACCTGGGGTAAAATGAAAACATCCGGAGGTAAGGGGTTGTTTTTTCCCCCTCGAAGATACCTCTAGGCAGAGACCACCACCAATTGGCCCTCGAGGCAATGTGGCCCATCCCTGAAGGTTTTAAGGAGAGCCACACCTGGGCAGCTGTCGCCCCTAGGAAGAAAAACCCACAAGGCAAGCCACGCAGGGCAGCAGTACCTGCCACGCAGGTGCCACTACCCACTGCTCTGTGGGTGAGCAGGCACCGCACGGGCTCCTGGGGGCGCACAAGTCGGGGCCTCTGAACAGCTCGGAGCAGCAGGCTTCTCTGCACGTGGATTCAGGGGCAGAAGGAAGCGTTGGTCATGGATAGCCTACTGAGTGTTTTGTCACGTAGAATTCTTTTACACTCTCAAAATGTAAATCAACTGTACTGTTGGTTTATACTGTTTATTATAAGCAAGTAGAACCTGATACAGTCAGACTGGCCCCACCTGACACATTTCTCCAGTCCAATCACAGTTAGGGCTTGCGACCACCCATCTGGCACCTTCTCTCACTTCCTGAGGGCTGAGAAGTAAACCCCTACTCTATGCCATGGAAGTCCACACAGCCCGAGAGCCGGCTCCCTCCCTCCAGAGACTCACCTGGGCTGGACGCTGCCTGGCTCCCCAGCTGCGCCCCATCTAGCCGCAAGCTGCATGGCAAGCTACATGGCGGCAGGGCTGGCGCCTGATGGAACCCCTGCGTGTGCGCTCCAGCTCCTCTCAAGGGGGGGCCTACCCCAATAAAGCAATCTCAGCCCTTTTTCTGTGAAATTTATTGTTTCCACATTAAAAGATTTGGGAGGGAGGACGGGAACATTTTTCCTTCCTTTTTTTTTTTTTAAAACCACATGATGATCCTATACAGCTGCCCAGTAGGCCACCGTCGTAAGTCATTAACATGCCATATGAGTTCTGAATAAATAAGAGCTACAAAGCCCAAGTTATATACAAATATCTTAGGCAATAATGTTTACAAACCTATATACAATAAAACAAATGTAAACAGTAAATGCAGCATGAGAGTAATCAAAGGATGCGCAGGGACAGCCAGCCTCGGACCAGGCCCACACAGCGCCGCAGCCGCAGCCTGGCCGCAGGCGAGGAGGACGCTGCCTCTCCTCCGAGTCTGAGGCACGTGGAGGGGGAGCCATCGGAGTGTGGCCCATCGAGGCCCTCGGCCCCAGAGGCCTCTGCTGTCTGGGCTCCGGTGAGAATCCGCTGCTCTGGGAGGCAGGTCTATGGAATGAGAACTGCTCAGGTGAATCAGAAGGTGCAGAATCTGTTCCCCAGTTCGGTGAGCTTCCCGACTTTGCCAGAAACAAGAAGCAGGCCCAAACGGTTGGGGGTGGGGAGGGGGTCACATGATCATGAGCACTGGAAATGCTCAGGAGGAAGCTCAGGTGGTTCTACATTGACCTGATTTAGGGGAGAACTTCTAGAAGATTTGCAATGTCCTAAACACAACTAAGTCCTAGCAGTACAGCAGGGTGGGGCTATGGGATGGAGTGACGAATGGGTACTTCCGCATCAGTGACCAAGCAATACACGGATGTGTCACCTGTGACCCACAGTGCAATCATGTGAAACCAACGGCACTACGGCGAGAAGAGAAAATAGCCAGTATTGAGAGCGCGCAGTCCTGGAGCCGGGCAGGGCCCAGCCACCGCCACTGCATGCAGCCTGCCGTCTGCCAGCTCGGGGAGGCAGACAGAGGGGCATGGGGCTGGGCCCAGGCACCGGGGGTGAGGCGTGGGTGTCCTGGGATGCTGCTGGAGGAGGGCAGAGGCCCCCACCTGGAGGCCGGGCACTCACACACTGAGAGGCAGCATCCCTGGGGCCGACGAGGGGCGAGAGGAGCCTAGGCCAGGTGGAGGAGGAGCTGGGTCAAAGCCGTTCACTGCCCTGTGGGATGACCAGAGAGGGGGCAGGAGAGAAAGAGAGACTGTCACTTCAAATAACACTTGGAGCAGCGGTCAATGCATTTGCTTGCCCAGAATCTCCCTCTTCCTGGCCAGTGCATCCCATCAGGGTGGCCAGAGCTGAGAGTCGGGAGCCCTGGTGGTGGGATCGCAAGATCCCCTCCCAGCAGCTTCTCCCAGGCCCTCCCTCCCGCGTTCTCTAGGGCAGACCCAACACAGGAAACAGCCTCTAACTGCACACCCAGTAACACGGGATGGCCAAGGGTTACATAACCATCAAAGCACACTTTACGGGACCTTTAATAGCACAGAAAGTATTCGAAATAAATGCTAAGTGGAAAATGAAGCAGGTTACCAACACACTGTGTATGTTGAACCGGGGGAGGGGAGGAGGCAAAGTAATTATTCTAGATGCCAGATGCTCGCCCCTTAAATAGACAGCTAATCTGTAACATACGTAGGGGGAGCTGTCTCTGTGTGTGTACAAAAAAGCATCTATGAAGGAGTTCTAAACGATCATGGAAAACTTCCATTATATTTCAACCCCACTTTTCCATGAATTTTTTGAAGTCCCCTCATATATCCTAGAAGGAAAATTTAACAATAGTTACTTTTCTTCCCTCTGAGTCTGGGTAAGTTTTATGTCAGTACACCTTTGTTATTTTCCAAATCTCCTACAGTGTACATAAATATCTTTAACAAGGGGAGAAATGACATTTTCAAACTATTAAAATAGCAAAGCCACCTGGTTAGGCATCTGCCGACACAAAGCAACAGGCCAGCCCAGCACAAGACCCTGCAGTGGAGCCAGCACCCAAAGCCCAGCCCAGCCCAGCCCCTGCGGGTGCAGGCTCCAGAAGGAGCCACAGCGTGAGTGCAAGGCCACCTCAGCCTCTCTCCCAGACGCCCTCTGGACGCTTTGTCCCACTGGCAATTCGAGATGCGGCCTCCCATTACTTGCCCCTCGCTGTGCCTGCTACTCACTGGGGTCAGGGGGACAGGGGGGTTCAGGGAGAGAGACCCTTTGAAGAACAGGGCAGACAGCATGCTCCCCCCAAAGACAGCGGAAGAGTAAGAGTCCACTCACTGAAAGAGGCCGGCAAAGCCTTGACAAATGGCCCCTGGCAGCTCTGAAGAAGCAGAGTCCAGTTTCAAGGCCACGGTATTCAGAGCCCCGGTTCTCATACCTGAGCGCACTTCTAGTTTGCCATCAAGCCTGCCCCTCGGGCCACAGGGCCAGGGGGGTTCAGACAGAGCAGCCCTCTCCCTGCACGCTCCAGCTTCACAAGTGAGCAGCGTGGCTCTCGGCTCAGGCCTCCCTCCTCTTCCCTCTGGCCTGAATCTAAGCATGAAGTATAGTCACCCTTCCCTTTCTCTCCCCGCGGTCTCCCAAGACGACCTGCCCAGGCCTCTTCTGCGGGCAGGGCCAGGTCCCATTTGCCACTGTCACCCCCGCATAACCACTCCTATTTGTCATCTGTCTGACTACTCCCAGTGTTCGCTAAGCCTGCTTCTCAAGGAAATAGGCAGGCCTCTGCTTTACCGTGTGGACATCAGAGTCCCTGCCCTCACAGATCATGACAGCTGGGCAGGTGACCCAGCAACTGCTCACAGGGGTAAGCAAAAGCAGCAACTGGGCACATGGCTCCACGGACAGGTTCAGCTGAGCTTCTGGCATTTTCCAGCCAGGTGGGCCTTGAAGGAACACCAAGTTCAATCTCGCTGCTCCACTGAGGAAACCAAAGCAAGAGAAGGCCAGTCAATGACCTGATTCAGCCCGAGCCCAAGCTGTTCCCCTGCCCCCGTCTGCTAGTCAGAGGGCACCAAGCGCCCGGCGTTCCCAACCCTGGTCAGCTCTCGTTAGGACAAATGAGCACGCAACTCCAGAGGTGAGGCGAGCACACACACTAGGGAAGCGGCTGCTGTGTGTGGACAGAAATGGACACTCTGGATCTGACGGCGGGTGGGGCCGAGTCAGCACAAATATTCTGCTGGGGGTCCTCCACACACCTCTCTCTCTCTTCTGTGCCAAGATAATGCAAGTAAGAGAGGAGAGGGAACACCAAGCTGGCCCTGTACGTGGGATTCTCCATCTAGAAGGGTCACTTTAGGGGGCTTAGAAGTTGTGCAGTGGAGAAGGATTGGAGAGAAGAGGCCTTGCTCTATGCACACCTAGCTTCAGGGAACAACAGAAGAGCTGAAGGGAGATGTCCCGTGGACAACACAGGGCAGAATGAGGCGGACGGGCAGGTGTGGGCCTCCTCTAAGTGGAAAGGTTCCAGAAACGGAAAGGTCACCATCTTCCCGCCAGCTAACGAGGAACGGAGCTAAGGCGAGTCATAAAATGACAACCAAAGCAGCAGCAAACCCGGGGAAGCAGTACACTTCGAAGCTAGTCAGGCGATAACCTGCATACAACAGGGACAAGGAGGAGCGCGGTCCACCTGTGGAGAAGCGAGAGAGAGAGAGAGAGAGAGAGAAAGCACCCCAAAGAGGCAGTAGGAAACGGACCAGAGTGGCCCAGCGGGAACTCAGATGAGCATGCAGACCCACTGGGGGCGCGGCCGGCCTCCCCAGTTAATGGGAGCTCAGCGCTCGCCCTCTGGCCAGGCTCTGCCGGCTAAAGATTACAGGAGTCTGGAGGTGAGGGTGGTCCCCGGGCAAGACAGGGCTCCACGCTCTTGAGAAAACAGAAGACGCTGGGCAATGGGAAGAACCTGCCAGGGACCCCCAACTCCCATCTGGCCTCCTGATGCCTCACCTCCCGTCAGGAGGGCCACCAGCCATGCTATCCACACTGCCCCAGGACATCCACAACTAGTGGGCTTTTGTTTTGAACCACTGAACTAATAGTAACGGGGTACAGGCAGTTCCTGGGTTACAAACGAGGTCTGTTCCTAAGTCTCAAAGCCGAATTTGCACATTTAAGTTGGAATAGTTAAGGACGGTATCTAACTAAGGGACAGTCACACATTTGTCTTAGCATACAGCATACAGAGCAGACCATGAAAGAAACATTGCCAGCTCTACTAAAACATCGATGACTGAATAATGTGGTCACAATCATGTTCTGATGTATCCATAGGTAGCACCCAGCTGTCATTACGAACACTGTTGGTTCCTCGCATTCTGTCTGGTTGGTTCGTAATTAAGGGTGGGGGACATTTGTAAGCCGGGGTCGGCCTGGACCACCACCGCACCCGGGAACTTGACCGCCCCTCGTGGTCTGCGAGTGGCTGAAGCTGAGCCAGCCCCATGCAGTTAGTAAAACCAGCCTGGGTTTCGGTTAACGAGCTTCCACCGCACACCGTGGATTAAGAGAATGAGCAAGAGCACAGCAAACAAATTCAGTTACCCATGAACAACGTGGGGAATATGACTTTTTCTTGCCTAATAAGGAAAAAAAAAAAAAGCATTAAACGGTAATGCAAGTACTATTTTCACATCATACCCTGTACACCGTCCACCTACACGCAGCCCAAAATAAGTCAGGGGGGGCTTACAAAAATTAGGCTAGACTAGGCAAGGATGTAAAGCAAAGGTCTAGAGAGAAAAGGAGACTTCTGAGCGCACCCAAGGGCTTCTGCACACACATGGCCCCTCGTGGAGGGCTGCACGGGTGGGGAACGGACAACACTGGGTGCATAGTGTAGGGACTGCACAAACCAGAAACCAGTCAAAGGCTCGCTTCCCCGAAACCCTTGGATAAACAGAATTTTTACAATATTCTTGAATCCCATCAAGCTGACTATACTGACTAGATGTATTAAATAGCCAGTCCTACGTTAGGGATGAGGTCTGACGGCGGTAGGAGGATGGGGCGCACACACTCAAAGACAGACATGCGTGTCTGCGCACGCGCACGTGCACGCGGGTGACTCTCTCCCCGACAGCCCTCCTCTTGGCCTCGGCGGCCCTGGTGAAACTACAGGGCAGCGACAGGACAGGCTCCTCGCCGTTCTTTCCTAGTCCGGTGGGGAGCGCTTCCCGAATCCGCGCGGGCCATGCTGACCTCTGGAGCAGGTGGGGCTGAGGGCGAGGCTCTGGAAGTGGGTGCTCTCCCTCAGGCTGACATGTAAGCCACACCCCTCGGCCTGCTTCTGTACGCTGGGCTTTCTTCAATGGAGCAGGGAGGTGGGCTCCCCGCAGTCAGTATGCACCACCCCGGCTTTTACCTAGGCAGTCAGTCTGTCAGCAGGAAGAAAGGCCAGAGGTCAAAAGGCCGACCAGCCGGCCGGCCAGAGCGAAGCCAGAGTCAGAGCAAAGCCACGGGCCAATCGAGAACAAAGCAAAACCCGCCACTGAGTTATCTTCAGGGATGAGGCAACCGGACAAAGCTAACTCGGGCAATTATTTTGTATATATGCACACTGAGATCCCAACCTTTCACCACACCACAACTTCAGGAAAAGCCAACCCACAAAAGCATATTGCATTTGGAGTGCTTTGTACTGATTAAATGAAAGCCACATGAAATGGTTTCCGTACGATGGAAATGGAGCCTGAGGGCAATGGGTTAAGCACTGGACTGCTAACCCAGAGGTTGGTAGTTCAAACCCACCCGTTGTTCCATACGAGAGAAGAGGCAGTCAGCTCCCACCGAGCGTTCCAGCCGTGGACACCCACGGGCCAGTTCCCCGCTGTCCCACAGGGTTGCTGGTCAGCATCGACTGGACAGCTCAGCGGTGGGTGGGGGCTATCAGGAAATTCATTTCCAGGATCAGTTCTGGAAATACAGGCTACCCCTGCATCTGAGACGGATGTCCCCAGGGGCTAAGTAGGTGAACAGAGCACAGTCATCCCTGGCTTGGGGACACGGAGTCTCCAGATCCTGGCACTCTACATCGGGAGTCCAGTGGGAGTGATCTCTCAGGAAGACTAAGACCAGCTCCCCACCTCATGCCTTTCTCAGGCATCTGTCCATCACTCCAACTCCACTGCAGACCTGTTCTCAGAGCCACGGGAGCCCAGGGCCCACCAGGAAATATAATTCACCCCTCTACCAGCAGTTAACTAAACAAACAGTTACTGTTTCCAACACAGCGACGTTCATAAGAGAGTCTCTAGCTACTCCAGTTACTACTGCAGTGTAAAAACTGCTGCCTCCACTCTGCCGGGAACTCCCAGACCTGAGGAAAAGGCATTTCAGACATACCCCACCTGAGGAATTCCTACAGTGAGAACAAAGGGCTGGTTACACGTGGATATTTTAATGTGCTTTGGGAGGAGATCTGTCCTTAACGAAGCGGAGATGCTCCTGAGAAGCCCAGAGTCCTCCATTCAACAAAGATGGCCCAACAGAGGTCTCTAAGAATGGGGCCTCCCTCAACAGGCCATGATCACCGAGGAAACCACACAGACAAGTGCCTTTTAAAACGAGGGAGATTTCCAGAGTGTTACCTGCACTGCTTTCGTTAAAAACATCATAATAATAAAATAACTGAGAAAGCAGAGCAGGGCTACAGGCCTTCAGCTGCTCCAGCCCCAGGCCCTAACCAGCTAGCTGCCCTGCCTGGACACCCGCCCAATTCAGGAGGACACCCCACCCCTACCCCCCCCACCCCACCCGAGCTGCTTCTCACGCCAGCAGTGCTCCCACAGACATGGGACTGTTCCTAGAACCCAAGGTCTTGCTGGCAGCAGAGCCGCTGCCCACAGAGGGCAGAGCAGCCACAGGACAAAGGCTCCGCACAGGCCCCGGGAAAGCAGCACTGGGGCAGGAAGCAGAGCGGAGATGGCAGGCAGGCTAAGCCCATTTTCTAGAAGGAGACTAGCTATACCAGGAAACCATGCCCAAGCGGGGACACAGTGAGCCAGCTGCAGCTCTGGGCCAGGGCTGGCTGTGAAGGCCTGCAGCCACCTTCAACTCACCGAAGTGGCAAGGCGAGAAAGGGCGAAATGATTGGATCCTTAGCGTCATCCTGATTTATTATCAAGGCAATCACATCTTGAGGCTCCACTCAGTTTCCAATGAGAAAGGAAATGAGGGGGGACGCCATGTGCTGGGGCCTCAGGCCTGCAAGGCGCGGTGCGGAGCAGCGCCTCCAGTGCATCCCCTGGGCAGCTGTAACAGCACCGCAGCTGAGGCTGCTCGTCTTTCTGGCGTCAGTGTGATTAGCTGGTGCTAACTTGCCATTTTAACCAGCATTTGGAAAATAATGGTGCTTGAAGATTTTGCCAAGAGTAACTAACCTCTGCTACATGATTTCTACTTGTATGCTCTCCTAATCTGTGCCTTCTGTACAGTCATACTCTGATAAAATTCTCAAGCATATAATAAAAAGTTTTCTGAGTATCGTTACTCTTTGATTAGAAAAATAAATATACTGACAGAAGATACATAAAAAATAAGATTTTGCGTGCACCAGAATAACGGCAATTCATGTACTGATAAAACCAGCAAAGAAAACGTGTACCTTTTGCTTTGTCTTTGTATCACAAAAAGTTTAAGCGCTAACAAGTAACTGATGCAGTCTCTAAATACTCATGGGCTGTATAGTTTTCTAAAGTCTGAAGCAGGCTCGTGGCAGAGTTGGCATCTATGTGGCTGCCGTGTTCTCCTCGACCCTTAGAAACTCCAGCTCGGAACACCTTGAGGACGAGGACCCTCGCACTTCATCTTTACTCTGCAGAGCTGCTGCCTCTCAGGACACTGCCTCCCAGGGCAGAAGCTGCGGGCTGAGGTTACCACAGCAACCGACTCCGCTGGGAAGGAAAGCAACAGCAGGCTTCATGGTCCCGAAGGTGAACGATAACAGACAGCAGGCCTGTTTATCAACGGGCTTGCGCATCCGCAGCTGCAGGAAGCTGCCTGTAAAAGCTAGGGTAAACGATAACTTTACTCCTCAAAAAGGGATCGCTGGAAATGCCCGGGACTTACCCTTTGTCAAAGAAAGACGTATGCCCTGAACGCGAGAACTTGGCGCCGTTGTTACTCATCACCCCGCAGTTAACATTCCCTGAAAGATAGGATTTTCGTGATGCTTGGTCCTTTGCGAAATTCCTGCACGCCGCTAATTTGGATTCTAATGCCTGGAAAAAAAGGAAGAAGGACATAAAAAACTGGCATCTCAAACCATTTCTGTTTCAACACTCACACTTCTCTGTTGAAAATAAAACAAAACTCAAACCCACTGCCATCCAGCGGCTCTGATTCCCAGCAGAACTGTCCCCGTTGGGCCTCCGAGACTGTACATTGTTATGGTAAAAGACAGCCTCTCTTTCTCCTGCAGAGCAACTGTGGCCTCAAACTGCTGGCCTTGTGGTTAGCTGCCGGAGGAGCAGCCCGCCAGCCCCCAGGGCTCCTTCAGTCAGCATGGTGGCTGTCCAATCACAGTCATCCCCTTTGCAGAAGAGAGAATGTTCACCTCGACTCCCTCGAATAAGTCAGTATTTATCCCTCTCGGTACCACTGAAGGACACTGATAGAATCCTCAACACTCCACTAAGAAAACTGGCCCAGGTCCCTGCCCCAGTCCACCGTTCTTTCTGGGCCGTGGACTGCGAGCCGATTAGCAAGTGCATGTGTGTGGTTGGAGGGAGGAGCGAGCACCACGAAGAAGCCTTCTGTTTGGTTGTGAGCACAGCCCATTCTCCCGGGTTCCTCGGCTTGGGCCGTTTCCGACTGCATCAGAACGGACAAGGGTATGGCTAACCCTCACAGAAAACGTAAAGCCATTTCACTTCTAAAGGTTCACTGTCAGACAGCTCACTGACATCTTGCTTATCATTCAGTATTTCCCTTCAGCCCCTCAGCATTTGCTTGTACACAGGTGTGCTTGGTTAGCACCTGTCACCGAAGCGCACGGTCAGTGCCAAGGTCTACAAAGGAGCAGACAGCATGACGACAACAGGAGTTTCCCAGATATTTTCATCGCATACAGGTCAGGTCGAGGCAGAAAAAGGAAAACAGATCCAAAACTGAGGTCGGGGAGGAGTTGGGGGGGGAGAGGGGGGACAGGGAGAGAGGACAAGACAAGAAATAGAGTCCATTCCAATATTAAAGGATCAGGAATACAAAGACAGATTAAATCTGAAGATAATATATGAGGACCTTCCAAAGTTTGGGAAAATTCTGTATCCTTCTATTCCATTTTCCCACAAACTTTTTGATACCCCCCTAAAACTTTCACTTGGAGAATTCCATTTGTACCCCCTCCCCACTTGACTTCAGTGAGTGCTATTTTTTTAAAAAGGTCATAAAGACAGGCGAAAACCTATTTTGTGTCGCCTCCATTCTTCTGATAACAGAGCCCTGCACCACTGGAGCAGCAGGGGAAGGAGGAAGTCAAGCAATGCCCTTGCAGGCACGTTGGAGGCAGGTGCACAGTAGAAATTACAACCAGGGATGGACTATCCTCAAGCCACGCCTCGTGTTCATTCCAACGCTGGGGCAGGCCCAGCTGTCTGCCGGCCATGAGACCTGCAGGGGCAGTCGGAGGAAGGGAGCAGCACTCCGAGGGAAGGCGGGAGTGGAGAGCTGCAGAGTGAGGGCATATCCACAGAGTGGCAGGGCAGGCACAGTCATGAATCATCCAATCAGAACTCTCAGTGAAACCCACAGGGACAGGGTGGCGGAGGAACCAGGAGGGGCAGACAGAAAGGTAGGCAGGAGACCACGCAACTGCACCAAAGAAGCAGAGGAAGAACATGTTCAGAAGAAGAGAGTCAACGCGGACGTGGCCAGTTCAGTGGCCCCTGCAGTTCAAGGGCTCCGGCAAGTGGGGGTCCACTCAGACTGAGAAGGCTGGACGACACGAGGTCGGTCAAGTGACAGGAAAGAGGAACTAAATTTAAAAGTGATGATAGGTCGGTGGTTCAAACCCACCAGCCACTCCACGGGAGAAAGAGGCCCCGGCACCCTGTACAACAGGGCGACTCTGAGTCACGACCAGCTCAAGGCCATGGGTTTTGTCTGAACGCATAAATATCACATGAATCATGTGTTTTAGATAACCTATCTAAAGTGCAATACATTAACATTGCATGTAAACGTCAGTCACCATGTATTGTCACGAGAAAGGTGGACACTGCAGAAGAAATGAAGGATGAAGACGTTGGAAGGAATGGAACCCAAAGCTCCGAAGGACAGCGGAGTCAGGAAGAGGAATACGATGCTCCCCACGGAGGCAGAAGGAAGAAAGACTGCACACAGCGGTAAGCGCTGGAGAGAGGGGAAATCACAGAGGTTTCAATCAGGTGCCCTGGGTTCTCTCCGTGCTAAAGGAGGCAGGAGCGGGGGTGCGGAACCCAGTTCACATCAGTGGATTATGTAGCCAACGTTTTTTTTAAAATATTAAAAGAAATAAGCATAGGTACATCAAAGGGGAGTCGGGAGCGGGCTGGCAGACAACAGCAAAGATTTTGATGATAATTTGGAAGACTGACTCTCCGCTGAATGAATGAACCAGGCCAGGGCTCCAAGTTTCACTTCCAAGCACTAAATCTGAGGGCATGAAATGTGCACATTCTAAAGCAAAAGGTACAAGGAGCAGAGACGGAGGGTGGCTTGGGGCGGGGAAGCACCAGGCCGAACTAACCCAGCAGTCTAATGAAGAGGGCTCAGGAGAGACCCTGTGCAGCGGCCCTAGGGGCCAGTGGAGAGGGCACAGGGGCTGCTTCCTCTGGGAAAGGAGGCAAAAGTCAGGAGACAGGCTGGGAAAGCTCACACATCCGTGTCGGCTGTGGCACAAACGGGAACCAACGCAGCCCCAACAGGGTTGTGAGAATAAATTCTTGGAGCCATTCTCTTTCGAGCGGCACAAATACAAAGACCTAGGAGTCTACCTCGTCCTCCGTGAGTGCGCACTTAGTACCACTCGCTATTCCCCAACTGTCAACACGCACGGGATCAGCAGTCAAGAGATCTAAGGACTTGCTGCAGTAGGTAAATCTGCTGCACTAGACCTCTTCAAATGGACGAAAAGGATGTAACTTTGAGGACTAAGGTGCCCCTGACCCACGTTAGAGGATTGTCAACCGCCTCCTACACATGCAAAAGTCAGACATGGAATAAGGCAGGCTCGGTGCTCTCGGAGAACACTGAGAGTAGCATGGACCGCCAAACGAACAAACAAGCCTGCCGCTGAGAAGTACAAACGCACGAGTGCGCCTCAGAGGCAAGGGCGGCAAGACTTTGTCTCACACACTTTGGACATGTTACCAGGAGAGACCAGTCTCTGGAGAAGGACAGCAGGCTTGGCAACGTGGAGGGGCAGTGAAAAGGGGCAGGCCCTCAGTGAGATGGACGGGCCCAGTGGGCGCAACAATGGGCTCAAACATAAGAATGGTTGTCAGGAGGGTGTGGGACCGGGCAGCGTTTCACTCGGTTGTGCAAGAGGTCACTCTGAGTTGGAACCGATTCAACAGCACTGAACAACAACAACTTCCAGTGTTCAGAATCAACCAACAGAGAAGTCAAGGACAAGGACCAAAAGTGACTGAGAGAGAGCAAAGAGAAAATAGTACAGGCATGTACTATTCAGAAACAAAAGTTTCAGCAGATTGAAATTGTGAAAACAATAACACTAGAAAAAGTACAAAACTGAGAGGAGGGGAGATAGAGCTTCATATTTTTGCTTGTTAATACTGTATGTCAAAAAAGAAAAATAAGCAAAGTATTTTGAATTACAGGGGTAAATACAACTCGTACAACAAAAATAATACAAAACCCACCAAAGTACCTGGTTTTCCTAGAGAGTGAGGAACAATTTGTTAATGTACTGCATGAATAATTTCTGCACGTTGCTTTTTATATCAAAGGTTATAAGTTAAATCTATATTGAGATCAAGAGCTAATCTGATGAATAATCGATGTTATGAACCAGAAAGGTGAGCACTACGACATAATCGCGCCCTTGGAAGGTGGCAGAAGAGGAGGAAGGCGAACGCAGTGGGCTGAGCGGAACAGAGAACCACTCCTGGTACTCTGAGTGGAAAACCACATATGCACCAGAAACGAGCTACACATCTCTCTTACTGTTCAAGCACTACGTAGTAAGACCGGGGTAGAAAGTGACAACACTCCCTGCTACAGTCCTGTGAAACGGGAGGTCATGGGATGGCCAGATGGTAGAGAGCAGTCAAACAAAGAAACGAAACATACACAAACAGCCCACAAGATTAGAAGGTTCTGGCACACACTCAGGGGTCTGACAGCCAAAGTTTGTAGAAAATCCCATGATCTTTTCATTCTATCTTTAATGAACTTTTTGAAGCCTCCTTGTACTTTAGGCAAAAATGGAGGGGTCAAGGTGTCGAGCGAATCCCTAGGCTGTAAGTCAAGAGCCTGTGGAACCCTGGCCGGAAGGGTACGTGTGGACCTGTCCCATCAGTCCCGAAGGCTTTGTTTCTCAGCTTAATTACAGCCTTTACCACGGAAAGCATCCTTTTTCCTTGCGAGAATACAAATGAACAAATAATTCAACACCCTGGCGGCTGACAACGCCTAGTGGTAAATAATTAAATGCTTACCCCTACTTTCCGTAAGAGATCCCCCACGATGTTGAGTGCTGATATCCTAGCAGAAGGAGTTAGTGGACTGGTACCAAAACCATTTGGTATAGCTAGAGGAAAATGAAAGGGGCGTGAGTACACTTGTCGTCTGCCATGCCCTGTGTACTTGTTTGTTGTAGATACACTCGGTGCCAAATCAATACAGCATCCCAAACAATGGGTGGCGTGCAGAGTGACGAGGCTCCAACCGATGGGTGCTCAGGGTCCATCCAGTGCTTCATCATCCCAAATGACGCAACAAGGACACGCACCCCGACACCTCTAGCCCGGCCTTTCTCAGAGACTCCTAAAAATAGGCCGCTGGGTTAGAGGGCACACCTACTTTTTTCATTGTTATAATTGCTACCAACTTTTTTTCTTAAAACGTCATGCCAATGTCTGCAACTCTGAATAGCGGTGTCCTTAATAGTATCAGTGATTACCTATCTTAAGTTTCCCTCAATCGGATAGGAGGAGTGTTGTTCCTGTGCTGAGATCTGCTTCCAGACCCCGTCAGCTCACTCTGTGCCCCTACTCCATCTGCAAGCCCTCTTACACTGAGAATCCCCCATCGCCTCAGGAAGGAGCAGGGGGGGTACCAACCTCTGGGGGGAGGAAACGTGCTCTCCGTCCCCTTGCCCACAGGCGTGGCGGGCAGAGAGAGCGACGCCTGGACCGCGGAGTCCATCTTCTCACAGTCTAAGGTCGGCGAGCTGGGAGCCGACTTCCTAGTCACTTCCTGTTGCCTTTCCCGGACTGCCAGCTCCTGTCTCAAGTCTGCAAAATGGTGCAAACAAAGGGCGTGTTACTCGCTGGTGGGGGCAGAGTCACAGCTGAAAATGCCAGACAGTTTCCTAAGTCACTGCTCAAAATGAACTTCCCACTGAACAACTTTTATTGACCTAGGTGTCTACTTCTACACATTTTTAAATACTTGAGACTTTAAACGTGCTGCGAGAGTTCAAGCCCATCAGCCATTCCTCCAGAGAAAGATGAGGCTTTCTGTTCCCATGTTGGCCTCCTCAGAAGCCATCAGAGAATGTCCGCTGTCCTGTACATGGGGTCGCTCTGACTTGCTAGACTCACTGACAAGGAGACTGAGCCTTTGATATGCCTGTTTACACAAAGAAACAGACGTAGTCCAAAGGAGAACTCAGAGGGAACCTGTGGGGAGTCCCAATGGCGTAGGGGGTACACACTGGAGGCTAACACCGCCAGAGTGAGCCTGTGTGACAATTACAAAGTATTCCTTACAAACGCGTCTCCTGTATGTGAAATAAGTCCTGGAATTACTGAAACATCAATGAAGTGCATTTTTATCATTTTAAATGGCTGGTACTTTTTATTCATTACCAGTCCAAAACCAGGAAAAACTTTGCCTCTGGATCTCCAATACTGAATTTTTAAGTCTGTTAGGCAACTAAGCTATAGGGTATTTATGTATGTTTAAAACGACAGCCGAATACATGCACAATACATGCTACAACACAGCTGAGTCTCGAGAGCATTATGCTGAATGAGACCATGTCACAAAAAGACGGTGCTGTAAGACCCACTGAGGCAAGCTGTCCAGAATAGGGCAATGGTGTATAGAGATCAAAGTGTGCATGGAGCTTCCGGGGGAGGGCAGGCGAGAGGGGAAGACCCACGCTGTAAGCACAGTGGGCGTCTGTCGGCTAGGGCAGTGGCAAATCCAGAAACCGTGAGAGCTGAACAAGATGAGCACACTGCACCTCACTGAACGCCACGTGTGAAGACTGCTCAAAAGGCAAATGTTGGTTGCCCTAGCTTTTTAAAGATACGGGTAAATATTGTGGACATGAGTTACAAGACGCTCTTCAGCTGAATGAACCCTCCCTCACCGAAGTGGGAGGGGCATGAGGAACAGATTTTTAAGAAGTCGATGAGCACTGAGAGCTGAATGTTTCATAGACACTACCACCAGAGCTCCTACTATGAGTTGCATAACAAAGAATTGTTCAGGTAGAAGCAATATGGGGAGGGGGGTGGAGCCAACAGTCTATGAATAGCAAACTAGTGAAGGCTTTGGGAGGGGGGGTACAAACTCAAGACTATCGGTGCCTGACTTTCTCATCAGTAGGAGGAATAATGCCTACCTCCCAGTCGATGGTGTGGGTACTAAACTAGATCAAAGCACGTAACAAAGTCTCTAACGAAAGTATACAAAAGCCTAACTTTGAAAAAAGTTGATCTTTAAGTATACTTGGCGCTCTCTGTCTTAAGAACAACCAGGATTTACTAGAGAAGCACGATGTCGGTTATAAAATGTACCTCTTGCTTCATCCTTTAGCCTCTGTACGGAGACCAACAAAGACTCCTTTTCATCAAGCTCGCTTTCTAAAAATGCATTCCGCTCAATGGCCTGATTGAGCCTTTGCTCAAAGTCTTCCAGTGAAACTATTGTTGCCCTAAAAAGAAAAGAAGAGAGAAATTAAAGTCCACGTGTGCCAAGAACAAACACAAAAGGGATTGTTGGTGCGTCTCCCACCCTGGCCACCGTGATCTCATCCTCTGACCCTGGGGCATTTAGTGTCTCTGCTATCATTTGGGGACAGCCAATACAGTCTAGTCTCCTTTCTTAAAGGAAGGGGATGTCTTTCATGCTCTGTGTCTCCAATGGGCTTTAAAACCAATAAAATCAAGTGTGTACACTTTTCAGGAAGAAAAGTGCAGTCATTTTAGATGATGTAAATATTAACTAGCAATCTATTTGAAATGCCAAGTCCCAGGTCTCATTCCAAAGTTGCTAAGTCTGACAGGTAGCCCAGAACAGTGTTTGTACCAGGCTGCCCACCACACGTTAACATACACTTGGATCTCAGGCCTACGCTCTGAGAACCACTGACCTATACACTAACAGCTCCCAAATGCACACCTCTTGCTGGAAACTCCCTCTTGAACCCAAAATTTACTTTCCATTCCCTGGAAAGAACTTAAATTTTAAAAATTCCTTTAAAAACAATTCCTTTAAGAGGAACTAGTTCCTCAAATTCATGACCAACACCAACCGCATCTACATTCTGCCAACCATTTTCTTTTTCCTATATTTCTCATCTTCCTCACTCAATTAACATGATTGTACATCTGCATGGGCTACCTGCTCCCAAAACACCCACGCTTGTCCTCTGACTGCCATGGCCAATTTCCCATCAAGTCCTGGCACCGGCCAGATGCCTCTCAAACCCACTCCTCCTTCTCCAACCTCTGTCACTGGCTTCATCCACCACCTGGAGAACTCCTTTCTGGTCGTACTTCCTCCCCCTGCTTCCACGTGGTCACTCCTCCCAAACCTGAATCTGCTACTATTACTTGCTTAAGAGAGTCTTAAGGTGCTCTCCACTGCCTGTGAAGTGCCTTTCACACATGGCAGGGTTGCTCATAACTTGCCCCAGCCACTTTCCACTCCAGTGTCACCTCTGCCAACCACACTTCCAGCCAAGTGAAATAGCTTCACTCTCTCCTCACCTATTTAACATCTATTCCTCCTTGCAGACTCCGTTCTACTGTCTGCAAAAGCTTCTCCAACTCCCTGGGGAACTTTCACTGCTCCTTCTCGGTGCTCCTTGTCCATTCGGCTACTGGCGGATGTGTCATGCAGCATGTCTATATCTGTCACCCTTGTAAGGGCAGTGAAGTAGCTTATCTATCTAACCTTAACCCTAGCATCATGTCAAGCACTCAGGCGTCAGTCAATAAATATTAAGGAAAGAAAACCAAGAAGTAATTACAAATTAACAGGAATTACATCTGAAATGGTTAAGCAGCAGCTACCGTATATACTCGAGTATAAGGCAACCCGAATATCAGCCAAGGCACCTAATTTTACCACAACAACTGCATTAAAAATGTGCTGAAAAACTCAGTTTATACACAGCTATATACAGTAGTTACACATGCATGAAAGTTCGGCACAATAACAGCAAGCCATTGTAGATTGTTCAGCAAAATCATACCAAAAGCATTACTCTGAGAAAATTCATCTGCCAGTACTAACGAGGAGAGAACAACAACAACAAAGGGAGTAGAAATGTAGAGACTCTGATCAGCTACGAGATAACTGCAGAATTCAGGTGTCAGCTAGAGAAAACTGCAGAAGCAATCTCACTGCCCTGGAGTCAATTCTGACTTTTAGTGACTCTTTAGGACAGAGCAGAATGGCCCCTTCGGGCTTCTGAGCCTGTAACTCTTTATGGGAGCAAACAGTCTCATCTTTCTCCCATGGAGCAGCTAGTGGTCTAGAACTGCTGATCTTGAAGCTAGCAGCCCAATGTGTAACCCACCACACCACCAAAAAAAAGAAGAAAAAAAACTCACTCCCATTGAGTCAAATCTGACTCACAGCGACCCGACCCGACAGGACAGAGTAGACCTGTTCTCTTTCGAGAGTAGAAAGCCTTGCTTTCTCCCATGGAGCGGTTGGTGGTTTTGAGCTGCCGACCTTGTGGTAATCAGGGCTCAAAAAGAGCAGTACTATTGAGAACATAGAGGAAGGATGGAGGAGTAAATGAAATGAGTTTCAAAGAAAAACCTCAAGGACCAGTAAGGGTACAAGAAAAACGGAAAGTGCACAAAGAAAAGCTGAGAACAGGAATGAAAGAGCCTCTTTGGGGGAGATAAGGATTCGGGTTTGTTTCCATTCATGAGTGACAGGTGACATAAAATACCAAAAGAACATGCTCTGGGACTAAGGTCTAGGTAGTAGGTGAGTGTGAACATGACACGGTAGTTAATCACTGGTCCCAGCTCGGCTTCACCCTGACAAAGTCCCCAGCGTGTGGCTACCTCTTCGCTCGCTCCAGGTCGTCATTGGCCTGCTCCAGTTCTCGCACGTACTTATGCAGCTGCTCCTTCATGGCCCGAGTCCGACTCAGGTCATCTTCCAGCACCGAGACCTGCTTGTAGCTCTGTGCATACTGACGCTCCAGTTTCTCCTGCGGGCATGAGGACGGACAGGAAAGCATGTGTCACTGGCTGATCGTTTTCCTTAATAAAGCATGTAATCCAAGCTCCAGGGGAACAAACAACACACACACACACACACACACACACACACACACACACAGAATTCACTCACAATCTCAGCTGACAATATTTAAAAAATAAATGACACACTCTAAGTGCCTGGACTCAGAAACATTTAGGTTATCTTAACCACTCTCCTTTCAGAAGGAAATCTAGTAATAATCTAAAATGATTTCTCTGAAGTGAAATACAGCAATGAAAGCTTTGATCAAAATCCCTGAACTCGGTGGGGAAACCACTGGCTTCCCAGCTGAATCCAGGGCAGGGTAAGTACAAGAGGTGAGCTTCCACTCAAAAGGTCAAGATTCCCCATCTCCTGCCTGTCCTTCCCCACCTCCAACCCCCCCTCCCTCCCCAGACACACAAACACCTCAGAACATTGGTCTAAAGTGGGTAGTGAAGGGCAGCAAAAGATGCTAACCCATTTACTTCTGAGAATTCCTTTTTTTTAAAAAAATCATTTTACTGGGGGCTCATACAACTCTTATCACAATCCATCCATCCATTCATTGTGT